TCTATCTAATCTATCAGTCTATCTATCTATCTATCTATCATCTATCTATCTATCTAATATACATCTGGAGCTTCCAGGAGTCTTACTTCTTGTGACCGGGAGAACACCCAGTTGTAGCAGGAAGAAATGAAGCTGATACAGAATACTGTAATTTATATATAATGCTGAAATAATCAGTATTCTTTAGGTTGTATGTGATTGAAATGAACCTCAAACTTGCTGAAGAAAAAAAAAGGAGGGAAACTAAAGGAAGTCAGAACCTGGGAATTTGGATACCATTCTCTTTATCATTCTGTCTCTGTCTCTCTCCCTTTCCCACTTTTCTTCTTCCTCCCTGATACCCCAATCCTGCCCCTCATTCTGTATTAGCTTCATTTCTTCCTGCTGCAACTGGGTGTTCTCCAGGTCATGAGGATTATGACTCCTGGAAGCTCCAGATGTACATTTCCTTCCACCATCAGCAGCCAGAGAGCATTTCTCTTATCAAGCCTCATATAGAAATCCTAGAAGGGGGCACCTGGGTGGCTCAGAGGGTTAAGCGCCTGCCTTTGGTTCAGGTCATGATCCCAGGGTCCTGGGATCAAGCCCCACACAGGGCTCCCAGCTCAGCAGGGAGTCTGTTCTCCCTCGCCTTCTCCCTCTCCCCCTGCTTGTGCTCTATCTCCTCTTTCTCTCTCTCTCAAATGAATAAATAAAATCTTAAAAAAAAAAAAAAAAAAGGAGGAAATCCCAGAAGATGGAGTATAATGGTTGGTTTGGGGACCAATTCTGTGGTTACAGGATTAGGCCTTTCTACAAACGAAGAGCAGAAGGGGAATGGTATGCAGACCAAAGGACAACAAGTGGATGAACACATGGCCTACTCCACCACACCACCTGGACCTCATTAATCAAGCTATGGGTAGACTTGGCTGGCATCAAGGATGGCAAGATATAGGGACTGAAAAAATGCCACAACTCTCACCTCTGCCTACGCTTTTGGTTTCTCTTTGTGGGTTAGTTTTGTTCTGTATTTCCGTAGACTCCACACAACCGAGAAAATGGACACCAGCTATCCTAAATTAACAGCACAATAGCTTTGGCATTGGTAAAGGCTGGTTACTAAGACATTAAGAGAGGAATGTACTTCGTAAAAAGAAGTCAGATTAATCATGATTCAGTATTAGAATGTAAATCAGAAGGTTGAAGCGATAAGATGGGGCCGGATCATGATTATGTAGGTTCTATTAAAGAGTTGGGAATTTTCCCTACGTGGAATAGCAATTTATTAAATAATTTTATAATGGGGGAGCGTTAATGTTACCTTTAGAAAGGTCACACTGGCATAGATTTTAGGGATTGGTAGGAAAGAGCAAATGAGAGAGTTAAGGGACTGTTGTAATAGTTCAGGTAAAAGGTAACAGTGGCCTGAACCAGAATAGTAGGGATGGAAAAAAAAAAATGGGCAAATTTAAAGATATTTTGGTAGCATCTGTAGGGAGTGAAGACAGAATCAAAGACAAACTTTGTTTCTGTTTTGGGAAGCTTAGTGAACTGACATACTGAACCTAGAAGCAGGTTTTCGGTGGGGAAAAAAGGCAAATTCAGCTTTGAAAATTATAAATTTGAGGTGGAACGAGTCATAGAAAGCTAGGCTGAAGAGATAAATCAGGAGACATATGTCTAAGACACGGATGGGGAGAGGGCTGTAGAGGAAAGAGCTTTAGGACAAAAGCTGAAGAACACTAACATTTAAGGGCAGGCATAAGAAGAGAATCCTGCAAAAAAAAAAAAAAAAAAGAGAGATTGAGATAAGGTAGCCAGGATGGTAAGAAGAAAACTAGGAAGAGATAGTACAATAGAAGGCAAAAGAAGATTCGAGACTAGAAATTGACTTTTTTTTTTTAACAGCTGTGCAACATGCCACAGTATAGATGTACCACAATGTCATGAGAGGACTGAAGACAAAACAGAACTCAAAGCAGTTACATAATGTCAAATGCTCCAGGAGGGCAAAATTCTTCAGCTGTGAGAAGGGGGATTCCATCAACCTTAAAGGATCGCTGTGGGGATAAAGTGGGTCCTATTCACACACTGCCTGCATTATGAAAGCATTCAATAAATGTCAATAATTTTCCTTTACGAAAGTGAGTTGCTGTGACTTACCCATGGTTCAGAATATACCCTTACTCCAGGATCTTTTAAAACCACGCTTACAAATATATAGTCATTACATTGTACTAATGTAGTATTTTGTGTTCCGCTGTCCTTGTCCCTAATAAATGTGCCTTTTCCCCCCCTTCTGATTATGTCACTGGGCCCAAATCCTTTGATTTATTGACTGCACCAAAAGTCACAGATTAATTGGCAAGATAAATACAAGTGACATTTTATTTCTGCACATCTCATTAATATAGCTCAACTCTGACTGATTAGTTCTCTTCTAAACACTTGGTGTCATACAGAGTAGAATGGTTTGGGCTGGTTGCTTTCCTAGGGGGAACTTAAAATGTGTTTCCTTGTTTTGTGTGTGCTCACATGACAGTCTCTTACATTTCTCTAACTATTTATGTTTTCTTCCCCAAGAACTAGCTCAAATACAGTAACAATTCTTAGCTCTTTCTTTAGGAGAGCGGGAAAGAAAATCAAGTACCAATCCAATTGAGAGAGACAGAAAGAGAAGGAAAGTAGGAAAAGGTTGGAGAGTCATTTTATAATTCATTAATCTATGCTGGTACCTCCTAAAATTTTTCCTTTCATAAAAAAGGACTGAACAATAGGATCAGAAACTAATAAGAAATCACAGACTTCAAGAGATTTACCACTTTCTTTTTATAGCTTTATTGACTATTACGAAGTTTCAATATGGTTCAAATAATTAAATACTGCAACTGGGACATTAATAATACCAACTAATTTACCAAAATAATTGTATTCTGAATATTATATACAATATTATACATTTTACATTACATAAAGGGTTTTTATACATAAAGGTAAAATTTGATTTATGATTATTGAAAATCCAAAATACATTTGAACAAAACATTCCTATGCATACATACATAATCACTCCACTGGGATAATCAAAATCATACATGAGTGTGGTTATTAAAAACTAACTACATTCATGCAATGGTAGAAATTAAATGTCCTTATTAATTTGAGAGTATTATTATAAAACCACACACATATGGATTATATAACCTAATTCTATATATTTAAAAATCTTTATGTAGAGAGACAAATACGTCTTGATCCCAAAAGAAATTTTTAATTTTTTTTATTTTAGGGGACTTTTGTAGTCATCAAAATGCCATACATGGGCATAACACAGGCTCCGATCCCAGCAAACAGAAAAGTCATGATGGTCTATCATATCACCATGGGTACTTCACTGTATAGTTTTCAAAAAATAACCCTATTCAACTGTATAATTTGGAATGCCTTCATATTCATACTTGTCATCAAAGTGATTACGTATTGAGGAACAGAGCTTATGCGGGAAATCTATATTACCGTAGAGAACTAGATATTGAAACAAGGATACCACTAGATGATTTCAGAAAACAAAGAACTGAATGGGTGCTCACGTAGAAAATAGCACCCACACACACTAAATTAGTTACTAAACAAGGTGTCAGTCCTTCAGGAAGGTTAATACACTGATGCGTCCTACCTTGTTTGAATACTGGAATATCAAAGTCCAGAATACTGTGGCATGAGTTTTAGTACGATCTCATTTTAAAATCTAATTCAAGAACAGCTGTGATTTGAAGTAAAGCCAGACATTTTTCTAACTGATACGAAAAGTCTGAAAAACAATGTCTTTATGTCTTTATAACCAAATGCCTTTCCAATTTATGTCAGTCTGTACGTGGATCTTATTCAAGAGACAGACAGCGGGGCGAAAATTCCCTCCGAACTATACACAAGAACCTCAGAAAGGCAGCAGTTAATAAACTGGCCATTCTCCTTAAAGGCTATACAGCATTTTGCAGTATTCCCTATCTGAAATCCTGTATCTTATTAAAGGCAAACAACAGAACACCTGGAAACTAGAAGATAGAGAAGTAACAAGCTGAAATATACAAAATCGGTGCCCTTTCCAACATCACATAATCTATGAAAAATGAGACTCAAAGGCTAAGGGTTGCTTTGTTTGTCTTCTTGTTCGTGTGTAACTTGAATATAAAAGAAGCTCTAACCTAGATTATCAAAATATATTCATATAAATGTATGAGCATTTCTAATACAAAAGGTAAAAAAAGTCTAAATTCTTAATTTTGTAATTAAATATCCTAGAGTTCAGTAGGCAGAATTGTTTCTGAGCAGCTTGAAAAGAATCGGTTGGCCGAGCACCGCCCGTGCGGTCGGGCGCCGCTACATTTCCGCTCTCCGCTGTGACTTCTCCGCAGCTGCAGCGCCGTCCTCCTCCTCCTCTTCCTCCTCCTCGTAGGGTTCCTCTCGGCCTTTGGGGCGGTTGTCATCTCGAACTTCTTGCTCTTCACCATCATTGTTTTTTTCATCGGCCTTAAAAGTAAAAGAAAAAGGGAAAGCGAAGAGGTAGGGTATAGAGCTAGTGATATAAATAATTTCCCCCTTAAAAAAAAACATGTGAAGTTACTCATTTTTAGAGAAAGGAAACGACTGGAGGAATAAGTTCCGACAGGCAAGGGCGCTAGTCTTTCCTAATCTTCACGTTGTCACGGGTGTTCCTAATTCTAGGTTGGCCCGTTAAACTGCTCGGCACCTGAGACGTACCCACTGGTACCTCTACCCAACTGACCAGACGTAGCGCCTCTGCACGCGCACATGCGCAGTAGCCATCTCTGGCCTCTACGTACGTTCTCCTCATTTTCACCATAGGTCTCTTCAGCATTATGCTCCAATTCCCTTTTTTTCTCTTCAGTCAAATCTTCCTGAACCTGAAAGAAACCAGAGATCCTCAGTGACCCTTTTTTATCATTTAAACACTTGCAACAACATATTTTGATCTCCAAACAGCTCATTAAAAATAGCAGAAACAAAATTAAACTAAAATTTGAAAAAAGACAAAAGTCTTTTTGAGTCAAAGATTTAACTTGTCTATCAGCTATGAAGAGATGTATACAATACACCTCCTACAAAAAATCAATGCCATTGATTCAGAGCCTAGGACTTTTGTGTTTGAATTTCTCATTTCTTTGAATAAGTGTTAACCCTGCAAGTATAACACCTGAGGAAATTCAGCTTATAAAATTAAAATGGGAGCAGTTTTAACAGGCCAACCTAGAAGACAGGAGAACTGCAGAAGTCTGAAGGCTCTGACGGAATGTAAGTTCCAGGATGACAGCAACCATCTGTCTCACTCAACTGTCTTTAGTACCTAGATGTGTACCTGGCACACGGCAACTGCTTAATAAATACTGGTGAATGCATCAATGAATGAATAAGTGAATCAATGCAAAAAATACCTGCTCTGTAAAGGCACAGAAAACAGACACCATTACCTATACATGACGTAGTAGAAAACAGAGAAAATGTATATATATAATCCTGTAATTAAGAATAAAGTTCTCTGGCTAAAATATCTAGAACATAGAACACAATCATTTCAATTTCTTCATGAAATAGTTGCTAAACTGCCCCAAATCCCTACATCTCTTCAATGTTCTAACATGACATTTCTGTTTCAAGTAGTTTTCTTTTATGTGTGCTATTACTATTACGTGTCTGTCACTGATCCCAATTATTTTTTTCAAAATGTAAATCAAAGAAAGTACCCAAATATTTTTGCAAAATAATCTCTATTTAATGATTACATTCCACAAAAATACAAGGTAAAATATATTTTCTAACTTAACTGTTTTGAAAACCGTATGCATGCCAAAAGATTGAAGTCACTTGAATTTCAAAAACATTGCTGCCCATCCATTAAGCATCAAGTAGTGTCCTGGGACTAAAAGAAAACCTGACCTGTCCTAAGACAGGGGTATAAGAGTAGGTCTTCCTGAATAACACACAGAATTACCAGATTGGGGGTGGAGGTGGGGAAGGGGGTGTTAAAAATCCCAGAAATGGGCAAGGGAAGGAAAGCACACAGGTGTTACACTTAAAGAGGAACAAATTAAGGCTGCCTCAAAGCGTCCAGCCCAGGTGTGACAGGAATGAACCACAACCCACCACACAAGCTTTGGCAGGAACCTGGCTTGTTAAGAACTGACAAAGATGACCCTTCAAAGAGGCCTAGACAAAGCCCAGCTTTCTTGAACCTCTTCTAATCAGCCCAACGTCAGCCTGACTCACAGCCCCTCAACTACAATAGGACCAAATAAATACATTCTGGGGACAATGGCATAGGGCTTTTTTTGTATTCACATGTCCCAGTGGTGCGAGCTAAAGCGAAGACACCATAGTCTCACCGACAGGCTCTTATCAGTGGTCCGTGACATCTCTTCTGCCCTTTGTCACAGAATCTCATAACAACATTTGAGATGAAAACACTGAATTACTAATTTCAGACTACATATATTAAAGCCTCACTAATTGAAACATCGTTAAATTGCCAAAGTAGCCCCATCAATTTCAGTGAACAAGCATGTCTTCTGTAGCCTTAATAATGAAAATATACCTAGTGAACACCAAACTTGGTTTAGTTGGGGTTGGGAAGGAACTGCCTTGAAACTGCAATATGGTGGGAAAGAATGTATAAACCAGGGTCCACGAATTTTTTTTTGTAAAAGGCCAGACTTAGTAAATACTCAGGCTTGCTCAGCCATAAAGTCTCTGGAGCAGCTATTCAACCCTACCATTGGGGTGCAGAAGCAGCCTTGGACAATACGTAAACAAAAAGCCATGTTCCAATGAGACCTGACTTACAAAATGGACCGAGGCCTATAATCTGCCAAACTCTAACACAGGCTGTAGATTTAGACAGACCTGGATTTAAACCGTGGCTCCCAAATGCTAGCTGTATAAAATCTATTATGAAAATTTGCCAGCACATACATATAAAGCAAATGATTCAGGGAACTCCTTACAGCCATTACCAAGGTTCAAAAGTTAGCTCAATGTTGCCACCCTTGCATCAGCTATCAGTGTTTTTTTTTTTTTATGACCTATTCTTAAAAATTCTAGATATCATATAATTTCAGTAATTTCATCCTTACCCATCTCAGTGTGTATCCCTAAAAACAATGGATTTTTCTTATATAACCACAATGCCATTATCACGCCTGATAAATAATCCCATGGTATCAACTAATGTCTAGTTCCGACTTAACATTTTCCTTATTATCTTCAAAATGTTGGGCACCTGGGGGGCTTAGTTGGTTAAGCGTCTGCCTTTGGCTCAGGTCCCAGGGTCCTGGGATCAAGCCCCGCACCAGGTTCCCTGTTCAGTGGGGAGCCTGCTTCTCCCTCTCCTCTTACTCCTCCCCCCCACCCCACTCATGCTCTGTCAAATAAATAAAAATCAAAAACAAAAAAACAAAAACAAAACAAAACAAAAAACCCAAAACTGTCTATTTACAATTGGTTTGGCCTAATCATCATCCAAACAAAGGCTATACCTAACAGCAGTTCCGCTCCCCTCTTTTTTCCTTAATGCTATTGACTTGTTTTCCTGTAGAATGACCCACACTCTGGATTCATTGGCTTCTTTGAGGCGTCACTTAACTCATTCCTCCAGCCCCCACATTTCTTATAAAAGGAAGTTAAAGACTTACATGAATTCAGATTAGATTTGCAAAGCAAGAGTTTTTCAAAGGTAATGCCACAGATTTTGTATTTTCATCACATCAGGAGGCACATAACACTCACCCCATTTTTTGTGAGGCTGAAGTTGGTCAATGAGCTCAGAAGGTAACTGCCTGATCCCTCCATGATAAAAATTCCCTGACCACCATTCATCTGGCTCTTAAGTCACTTGTTTTAATTAGGGGGCTACAAAAATGGTGACTTTCTAATTCCATTATTCCTTCTGCATTCACTAACTTCTATAAAGAAGAACTTGCCCATATCAATTATTTAGTTATTGTCCTTGGTATACGTATTTATGATAACCTCTAAAATTAGATCTGCATGAGCTCTAGTCATGGTTCCAAAAATAACAAGCTGTATGACCTTCAGAAACTTAGCTAACCTAAGGCTCAAATTTCTGATCTGTAAAATAAAAGGGTTTGATAAAAATCAGCGATTTTAATTTTGTGTGGGGGGGAGGGGAGTCATGAACCCTTTTAAGACTTTGGAAAGAAATGCAAATTTAAGCAAATAGGCACAGATACACATCATGTGACACAGAAGTTTCAAGAGGTTCAGACTTCCCGAGTCCACCTGTGGCCACCTGTTCTAGGAATGCTCCTCCAAACAGTGTGTTCCTGGAGCTCTGATTCCTAGGCCCACCACAGGTAAGATCAAAATCTCCAAGGGTAAGGTCCAATCCAGGAATTTGTACCTTTCACACACTCTCTCCAAGGTGATTCTTAGCCACAGCAAAGACTGAGAGCTACTAGCTTGAGTGACAGTGAGTACAGGGTTAAGGGTGTCTCTGGCTAGAGAGATAAACACCCTTACCTAAATTCTTTCTTCTCTTCCCTGGAGATCTACTGTAGAAAATTTGGGTTGTTTATCAGTTGAGTTGTCAATAGACTCTGAGGTAAGAAGCCCTGATGTAAATTACTCTTTAATCTAGGGAACCCACAAATGAAAATTTTGTAATTTTCAAATTTATAGATACACATTATTACTCCTCACATCAAAGATGTGATGGGATGAGACAGGAACCAGAAGACTGAATTTGAAGTAGTGCAGAATGCTAGGATCTACAGATGTGGATGGAGTGGGACAAAGGAAAGGCCTTCGGCACCAGCAGCTCTCGTGAGGGACACCACAGCTGGCTGAGTCACGGTTAGCAGGAGCTGTGCGCCTCGCCAGCTCTGTGCTATGGTGACTCACAGGCTGGCGGACCCCCCTACCGGCAGCTGAGTAACCCTGTGCACGCTCTCCCACGAGTGTGCAGATCCATCTATTTTCAATTGTATTTGGAGAAAATGAGCAGAGTTTTCAAGCTTATCTATCTATCTATCTATCTATCTATCTATCTATCTATCTATCTATCTATCTATCTATGTAACTTACATATCTTTTTGAACGTTTAAACCACTTTTAAGCAGCCATAGCACTTTCTGGCAATGCCATTAATTTGTCTTGTTTGCTCATAAGCAGATAAAAATTCTGGAAAGTAAGCAACACGGGGATGGGATGCCCACATGAATGTTCCAAGCAACGAGCCACGAACACTTGTTCATACCCATCGTTTTTAGGTCGTAGAAGGGTAACGCTATTGCACTAAGATAAAAGAAGGCAGGGAGAGTGCAAATGTCCAAAAAGCCCACTTATCTCGGGTCCCACTGTCTGAGCTCAAGTCACAGGTCTGATGGGAGGACCCTAGCAAGATGCATTTCCTCCCTAGGAGCAAATGCTGATGGAAGTCAGGTGACGTGGGACGCATGGGAGGGGAAGCAACGACAGCAATGGGCCTGTAGTCAGCGTACTCTGAGGCTCAGTGTAGAGAAGAAGGACGCGTATGACACGGCCCTGCATGGCTTTCGGAGCGCCCCACAAATGTCTCACATGCATCACTTATAAATATGAAATGGGTTCTCACATATTGCATTCCTTTCTTTCTCATTTTGCCGCAGTCTGGTGAGAACTTCGTCTCTACTAGTCCTTAAATGGTATTCGGGAACTGCTCTTCTCCCTCCTCCAGGGAAGAACTGGGAACAATGGGAAAAGGTGGGAAGATCCAATAGCTAAGCATCGCCGGAACTGGCTGAGGAAGCACCACAGTCTGTGTAAGGGCCACTCAGGGGCAAAGAGGGGAGTCACCCAAGGAAGGAGGAAGGCAGGCTGAGAGCACTCCTACATGGCAGGGTGCACGACCTCGAGCCTACGCAAGAGGGGGTCCGGAAGAGGGGCAGAGACGCCAGACAGGAATTCAGAGCAGGGACCCGAGAAAGAGACGCAGGCCCCGGGGCCTGCTGCAGGGAGATAAAAGGGCTCTGGTGGGCTCCGCTGACCTGAGCGACACGAAGAGCAGCAGTCCTCACCTTGGCCTGTCACCACTCTCTTCCCCTCCTCTTTGTTTTTTCCCTACCCTTGACCCCACTTGGATCACAGGAGTGCTCTCTCCACTTTAACTGACATTAGATGAAGGTAAAAAAGTAATCAGTAAATACTGATTAAAATTTTATGTTTACCCTTCTGCATTTTTAAAAAGAAGCCAAGGTGAACCTCCTCTCTTTTAATCCCTCACAGATATCTGGCATCTGACATAATGAAACTGAATAATATTTGTCCAGACATCCTGTTACAACAGAAGTCCAGATGAATACCTTTTTCTTGCAAAATGTCTTAATATTCAAGGCTGCCAGTTTTCCTAATGCTCTCTTGTGATACCACAGCTCAGGATCTTCATCAGGATGAACAGCAGGATGAGAACAGAGAAAGAATAAAAAGATCAAGCCAGAGTGCCCATGACTAGAGCCATACGTTGGCCTGGGGCCAAAACAATGGCCGTAAAGAGCAACATCCCTTTCTGTTTTTCTGGTATAAGTGCAAATTTTAGCATTAGCTCTGAGAAGTGGATGACAAATTCAACAAAACTGAAAAAGCAGGGAACTATGCACACGAGTATAGTAGCACATGTATTCTGAGCAGGATCCCCAATGGTGGGGGTATCTGTCTGGGCTGACATTTGTCCATCCATTCATGCAGTTCCCCTTAGGGCTAAAGCCCCACATCGGCAAGAAGCCTGGCTGAGAAACCCTTCTGAACCAGGAGCTTTACTGGGCCAGAGAGAGACTAAACATGGGGCCTTGGCCTCATTCAGAGCATATCCCCAGGTATGGAGCTTCAGTGGTCCACACAGTAGAGCACTGTGACTAACCAGCTCCAACCATTCGCATTCATCCATCACTTACGCAGATGTGTCACCATGATAGGTGCTCCTTGAAACTAATTAACAATAATCTGCCCGAAGTTTACAATAAAAAGTAAACTAAAATGAAATTTAAGAAATTCTACCCATGGAGGGATGCCTGGGTGGCTCAGTCGGTTAAGCATCTGACTTCAGCTCAGGTCATGATCCCCAGGGTCCTGGGATCGAGCCCCACATCAGGTTCCTTGCTCAGTGGGGAGCCTGCTTCTCCCTCTGCCTGCCATTCCCCCTGCTTGTGCTCACTCTCTCTCTCTCTCTTTCTAACAAATAAATCAAATCTTTAAAAGAAAGAAAGAAAGAAAGAGAGAGAGAAAAAGAAAGAAAGAAAAAGAAAGAAAGAAAGAAAGAAAGAAAAGAAAAAAGAAAAGAAAAGAAAAAAGAAAAGAAAGGGAAAGAGAAAGAGATTCCACCCATGGGGTGCCTAGGTGGTGCAGTTGGTTAAAGCAGCCGACTCTTAATTTTGGCTCAGGTCGTGATCTCAGGGTTGTGAGATCGAGCCCTGTGTCAGGCTACACGCTCAGCATGGAGTCTGCTTGAGATTCTCTCTCCCTCTCCCTCTGCTCCTCCTCACCCCATGCTCTCTCTCTCACTCACTCTAAAATAAAATAAATCTTAAAAAAAAAAAAAAAAGAAATTCCACCCAAATGCATTTTATTCAACTGAGCTTCTTACATATTTTTCCTTTTCTTCATTGTTAAATTTCATTATGACACTAAATTCTTAGGAGGTAAGACAGGCAAAAAGTAGAGACTCAAACTTTTTTGGAGGGTGTTAAGCGTATTCTAACGGACACTGTGAGGCTGGGCACTGCTGTGAGGCAGAACTGTGGCAATGTCTACAGAGCAAGTTACAGGGGTCATTCCAGACCCCTCAATAGGCAAAGCTTTGCTCTTCTCTCTTTTATGAGGGAAAGAAACAGGAGAAAATATTCTTACAGAGATCACATAGACCTAAGTCCACCATTCCTAGAAGGCCAAACGTCTTCTTTCAGTTCAAAATTTCTAGTGAGAACCAGAAGGAAGGATTCTATGACCCTGTTTTTGTCCCCTCCTAACCAAATGTCTCTACTTCCATGGTCCATTTCCTCTTGAAAGCACCCTCTCTCATCCCACCTGTGTCTTTCTGAAGGTGTCTAGAGAAGGCACGTCAAAGCCGACGCCGCCACTCAAGGGGAGTGCGATGCACCAAGCACCCTGATGAGTTTCCCGCAGCCCGCCCACCTCCCCCCTACCTCCTCCTCTGCCTCATCCTGGTACTGCTCGTCAACATTATCCTCCTGCTGGTCTGGGTTTCCTGCCATCTGTGGGAACAAAAGGGGAAGCTCAGGTTACTGAACACTGGAGATGTGTTTTACAGTACACCGAGACAAAGAGCAAGCTCACAGCCATAAAAAATGTCCTTGCAATGCATCAGTGGCCAGGAAACGATGAATAATCCTTTCCAACACAAAACCCAGGAGGTGTGTTACCCTCTCTCTCTGAGTGTGGGCACATCGTTTCACATAATGGCCTAAACCCCAACCAAAGAGGCAAACCTTCTGTCAGCATACATTAGGACTAACCTTTTGCATAAACCAGGCAGTTCTTAAGATGCCCAGGGTAAAACCACCCTCTGTACTAGCGTCTGCTTACCACCAAATGCTCCTCCATCTCTGCATTCTCTTGCTTTTGATTACTTTGTTTTGGCTCTTCATTTTCATCTGGCAAATTTTCTTCTCTCACTTGCTCGGCTTCCTCAAATTCATCTTCACCTTGATTATTAGGGTCATCTGCTGGGTTTATATCCTCTACAGCTGCCCTCTGCAAAATTTTAATAAAAAGCAACCACTACTTCAAAATCCAGGATCAAACTTAATTTCATTTGAAAGGCCACACACACACTGGCAGAAAATGAAATCGTCCTCCACCAGATTGTACAGATCCATCCTTGCCAAGACTAGCAAGTACACATCCCACTGTCAAAAGAGAAAACTTGCTTTATTTGTCAGAGGCTGAATGAATCAGAATGCAGTACAAACAGCACTCGTTTTCTGCAAGCGATTCCAAAACAGTCCTCCAAATTCTGTCACAAGAAATGTGAGCATAACTAAATAGACAACAAGAAAAACAGCTAATAAAAGCTGAAAGACCAAGTAGGAGAAATCATTAAAATGAGAGATTTAGATAGGCAAATTGTAACTTCTTTCATGAGTATGTTGATTTTTATATAGACAAACCTTCCTCTGCTGGTGATTTCTCATGTTAAGTGGGTGGACAGCCGTTGAAGAGCGAGAAGGCCCCATTGGAAAGGACCTAAGAAAGGGGCTGTGAAGGAGACAAGAAGGGGCTAACCCAGTCTCCGGAAGTCTATCTTGAAAAATCCCTCCCGTAACCCCCCTCCGGCAGCTCTCAGTGAGGGGGTTCAACAAATGCCCTTCATAGGATCAACTTGAGAATTATCTCTATTTTCCAAACTCCCAAAGCACCTTTCAAAATAATACATGTCCTCATAAAGGTTCAGAGTTTAAAGCCCGAGCTGGGCAGACACGGTAAGGCCTGCAGGAGCCTTCCGATGCCTCCAGGGTCACCAACAGAACACTTAACGGAAGCGGCAAATGCTTCCCAGATTGAGTCTGTATCGCTGTTCTCCAGACAACAGGACTCTACTTCAATTCACTTCGGGGCCTTGAACATAATCAAGGGCGCACCACAATCTCAGCTGACTTATGATGTGCACACCCCTGGTTATACACTTCACGCAAGTGCAGATGACGCTCTTCTTGGGAATATAGAGTGACAAATCATCGCCTTCACACAACGCCAATTACTCCATAATCTCATTCCATAGATTTGTTTTCGTGCATTATCAATAATTTGTGTGGAAACACAGGAAAAATTTAACACATTCTCTTCAGAAATAAAAGTACCAAAAGCTTTTGCAAAAGCCCGCGAAACGTATACACTGGGTCCAACTCTGACCAAGTAACAAGTAAAGTGTAATAGGCACGGTCGTTATGTTCAAATAAAACAGACAGTCAGTTATAACTCAATGAAGCTGGACAAAATTTAAAAAAAAAAATAAAATAGATGAGACAAAGAGAGACAAGTAGGCTAACAATACCTAATTAAAAGAAGGGATGGGAGGAAGGCCGGCAGCAGGTCCTCTGTAAATCGCTGATGGGACAGTAAAGGGTTACACAGTCCAGTACTCGAAGTATACAGCACCTCCCGGGGGGTGGCTGGAATAGGCATCCTTTTGCTGCCCCTCCATCCCTGTCAGGCGCACACTGCTTTCTTGTTCCTCCTGCAAGATACTCTCTTGCCCTGTCACAGTCTCAAGCTCCCTCTGGCTCTCCTGCTCTCTGGAGCTCCTGCTCTTTCCTGAGCATACTTTCACAAGTGCTGATCCACAGGCTGCAGGCGAATGTGTCTGCCACATCCCTGCACAAGTAGAAAAGCCATTTCCATCCAAGGGACTTCAGGAAGCTATCAGGAAGCCTTTCTCAATGATTACCAAGGAAGGATATAGATCCTCCTTTCCATACAAACAGGACCCATACGGTAGCATAGACTGGATTTCATAAACATGGAGGTTGATTTACTAGCAAAAGATGACAGGAGAGCTAAAGTGAGTTGTGAAACTCCTCTACACATCTGCACAAGAACATGCTCACTGGACCCTTGCTTGCCTCAGGCCCTGGGCCACATAGCTGAACTGAGAGTCCAGGGTTCTTCTTCGGTAAACCCAAAGAACATTCCCGGTTAGTAGGTCTCTACCAATTTATATTCTAATTTTTCTATAGCACCATGGTACCTGAGCAGATTTTTCTTTTACTTCTCAAGCCACGCATCCTTGTCCATCCATATATTGATTAAAATGGCCCCTGACTGCTGGGCCTGACTGGCGGGAGATGACAGAGTCACAAGACATACATAACACTCTAGCGGACTGTTCAACGGGCTCCATAATGGTCCATTTCCTTTCTCTGGTTCTCTAACTGCCACACTTGCTTTTTTTTTTTTTTTCCCATCTTTCAGAATGACTACATATTTCAATGCCTCTCAATTTTGCTTTTCTCAGTTTTAATTTTATTAATTTAAAAGTTGGCAGAGGGAAACTCCTTTTATGTTTTCCCAGAACAACTTTTGAGCCAGTCTCATCACATACGCATGCCCCCAGTTTACAGTTAACAACACTGCTCATGTAATTACGCAAGCCACCTTCCTCCTGCACTGGCGAGATAACAGACACATCTGGAGCCAGAGGCCTGGCGTCAGGCAAACCTTCAAGTTTCCTTTCCGCCTTGGGGGTCTCCAAGTGTCGTGACCAAAAGAGAGGACACTTACATCTGCCTCAGATTCCGGATCGGTTTCGTGGGGCCCCTGATCCTGAGGCTCACGTCCATTCTCTGGGTCATCTTCTGCCTCATCTTGGTGCTGGTTGTCTCTCTCATAGGCTAGCAAATCGAAGGAACTAACATCAGTGCAGATGAACCAGACAGGATTCTGCCCTTTCACTCAAAGAAAAGCCACTGGTGGGCTTTCCTCCAGACCATTTCTCCCAATCTCTCCTCTAGAGAGGTTAATTCACCATATGGCGTACATCTCAGCTTTTCTGAAGGAAACTATGCCCTTTTTCCAGACCGTGTGTCTAAGGAGATAGCGTGGGTGAGTGACACCATTCTTACCTTCTGAAACAGATGTTTATAACAGCAGCTGCATTCTCCCCCTTGTTATGCAAAAAACAATAACCAAACTTTCCCAATAAAAGAAAGCCCAGTCAACTGGACACTGCCAAAATTATCAGCTAAGTTTTGGTAATATCAGAGGAAATAGCAAGGTACCAAAAGAAGAAACTGATAACGTCTCAGAAAATGAAAGAAAGAACAACTCCATCTGTGGAGCTCAAATCAAATCCAGCCCATCGTGTGTCGTCTGATATGGCACTGATGAGGGCTGCCACCACACAGATACATCTCACATTTCAGCTCCCAGAGACATTTACTTGCAGCTTTTGGAAAAAAATATTTCCATAAAGGGAATTTATATAAGAGCATACAAAGAGAAGAACAAACAACTTTTTAAGTAAGATATAAGAGGAAAGGTTAAGTACATGGGGAGTATTTAGCTTAGAGAAAAGAGGGATGCAAGGTAACTTACCATCAGGTTCAAGTGCACCAAGGGATTCATTAAATAAATAAGAGAACAAACTGTTCTCTTGTCTTACTGATAATGGAACAAAAAACCTTAAAGTGCTGTACAGGGGGACATAAGGAAAACAATTTCTTGACTAGAAGGGCTATAAAATATCACAACAGGCTGTAGAGGGAGTTTGGGTAATCACCTTCTTTTAGACTCTTTAAAAAAAAAGGATACATATCTGAGTGTTAGAGTTGCCAGAGAGACGGTTACTTTCTAGTTCTATTATACAGTAAGTGATATTTGATAAATTACATAGGAGATGCTCACCACAAGTGAAAGCTACTATCGCCTTAATTTGAAAAACTTTTAAAGGCAATGATCCAAAGGCTTCCAAGGTAAGGTGAAAATGGAGCCATTTCCCAGAGTATAACAGCCCTATGATAATGTGTCAGAAATAACAATTCAGTATACAAAAAGTATACAAAAAAGCTTAAACCATGGGAAAAACAAACATTAGAAAGGAAATAGATGATCTCGAGCTGTCTGGGCCACCAATGTGCACTGTTTGGGAGGAATACCAAAAACACAACAGCAACAACAAAAAAAGACACACAGGACACAGATCTCCTTTGTGTGTACTCAGACATGCACACTACTCTGAGTTGATATTACATGTTACCAAGTAATCTTATTAACATATCCATCATCTAAGAAGTCTCACCACCTCCTTCCTCTTCTTGGATGCCCTGGTCCTCGGCTCCCTGAACAATATCATGATCCATAGCATCATAATGAGCTTGCTGCCTGTAAGGGACACAAACATTATCAATTCAGTGACAGATTAAGTGGCACAACTGGCCATAAGTCATTTATATTTAAAGGTAGCGTTAAACAAATTTTTCAACGTTTTTTAAAAAGTCATAAATTTTTTTTCAACCTTGTGCTATTAGGTTTCATAAAGATTCCAGATACAATTTCAAAGGATACTTTAAGAGAGATAAAACACCTTTCAAGTGTAATAAAGTACAATAAAGTTAGCACAAAACCTGCTAGTTATTTTGAGACCTAAACTAAGCTTGGAGACCTAACATTTTTAATCAAGGATTAAAAATGTTGATTATTTTAGAAATTAAATATTTGGAAATTTAATTCTCAAGCTGTTGTTGTGCCCCAGCCACAGGAGATGCTCAAGCTCACGGGTAATAAATACACAAAGCTGTTTGCCACCTGCTTATAAGAACAAGGGGATTGGGGCGCCTGGGTGTCTCAGTCGTTAGGCGTCTGCCTTCGGCTCAGGTCATGATCCCAGAGTCCCGGGATCCAGCCCCGCATCGGGCTCCCTGTTCCGCGGGAAGCCTGCTTCTCCCTCTCCCACTCCCCCTGCTTGTGTTCCCTCTCTCGCTGTGTCTCTCTCTCTGTCAAATAAATAAATAAAATCTTATAAATAAATAAATAAATAATAAATAAATAAATAAATAAATAAATAAATAAATAAAACCAAAGAGAACAAGAGGAGGGGCTGTCTGCGCCCATCAGGAGGAGGCTACCGGGGCTGCTCCGGGGGCTGCGGCCGCCCCTCCTGCGGGCCGGCCTGCCTCTGCCGGGCCACCTCTCTGGCGAGAAGCTGCTGCTGTGGCCTCCACAAGTGTCCCTGAAGCCTCTGCTGGTGCAGAGCCTCCTGCTGATCCCTCAGTGGCTGGGCCTCCTCTGCCCGCCTGGCGGCCACTCTCCGCGCTTCTAACTGCTCCTCAGATGGTGACCGGAACCTGGTGACCGGCTTGGCTGAAGGATATACCTGAGGGAAAACGAGCAGGTGCTGAGCAAGGGTAGTCGGGACCTCTGGGTTCTCTCTTCCTCTGATTCTCATGACAAACTCAGGAGGCAGGGCTGCCTTGCTTCCTTAATCCTCATCTGTCGGGTGAACTGTGATTATACCCTGGCTCCAAGGTCACCCAGAGCCAGAACTCCTATTTCCCAACTCCCTGAGTCACCCCTGGCTTCTTTCAGCTACTCATCTTCCTGATTTCCTGGCATTTTGGCAGATTTTCAATGTGCTCCCTCTCACGTGGAAGAGGGCACAACAGAAAAAAATCAGTTTGGGGCCTTAATTAAATGTTATGTTCAAGAGGCTCTGCTGTAAGGGGGCACTTGGTGACCTCCCATTAATTGGGGCAATTTGTGGGCTAAAGCTGTGGCTAAGGATTTTCCATGAAGAGTTTAAGATGCAGGGACACCAATTAATTCTAGGACTGCACAGCCAGCCTCAGGTTAACCATAGCAAGCAAGCAAAAAAAGCCAAATTTCAGGTAAGGGTGGAGAGGCAGACAACCAATTTCTTCAAAGAAAAAGAGAATGGGGGAGAACATAATACCTTCCGACGAAAGGAAAAACTGATACAGGAATTCTTAAACTCTGCTTCCCACTGAGCTACCTGCTGCTCTCTCCTCCGCCACCCTCTCTCCCAACCAACACAAGCACGTGCAATTTTCACCAACGGAAAGAAGGTGCAGGGGTAAGGGAAATCAAACCCATGGGGGGAATTACTTTTGAAGAAAGCTATGAGGGGGGTGCCTGGGTGGCTCAGTCGTTAAGCGTCTGCCTTCGGCTCAGGTCATGATCCCAGGGTCCTGGGATCGAGCCCATCGGGGTCCCTGCTCAGCGGGAAGCCTGCTTCTCCCTCTCCCGCTCCCCCTGCTTGTGTTCCCTCTCTCGCTATGTCTCTCTGTGTCAAATAAATAAAATTAAGAAAAAAAAAAAAAAGCTATGAGGGACACAAGACCAGGAGAGGCTTCTCCATGCTAAGTTTGCAACAATATAAAAGTGCAATAGAGGCCTTTACATCTACTCAGCCTAAAGCCTCAACCAGCTTGAAGTCTCAGAAAGTCTGGGGCCAAACACAACTTCAGAGTCATAAATAAAAGGTGATCAGCATCAGTGTAAAGGCCAAGTAGCCCCCCGACAGGTATCCGTTTAGAGACATCAGAAGAGACAGCTCAGCTTCTACATTCAGGGTTGTTTCAAGTTCTTTTATGAGTATGATTTCTAATAATAATGGATTTTTTAAAGGGAAAAAACCTTATTTATGTAAGAGGGGAGTGCTCTGTAGGGGGAGCCTGAGCAGAGCCTGGTCAAACATATATACTCCCCCAGTGGGGCATCCTTAAGTGATAAGATCAGCCTTTTGACAACTTAATAACCACCTTGAAGATGAATGTGCAAAAGCCAATCTACCATTTGATAGTAAATGAACAGGGAGAAGGAGACTTTTGATCACAGAAAATGAGACCTTTCTCGGCCTCACGATGCCCGTGGGACTTGAGCACGTTCCAGGAAGTGCCCAATCAGGAGCTCATCTCTCCTCTTACTGCCCAAGGGAAAGCAGCCCTGAGCTCCCTTGTCTGGCACCCCCGACAAAGAAAATACACACACCAACAGCCTTCTCCTTCCCCCCAGGCACCTTTCTGAGGTACCTGGGCAGCTGTGCTATGAGCATGACAATAGAAAACTAAAATACGTGCATATAACATTTAGCGAACTCACTCAGATTTTATTTTAGGGACTGTCATCTATGGGGAGGCTTTTTTAATATTTAAAAACAAAGCCACACTCCCCGTCCCAGCCGACAAAACGTAACGCTGGTGGATATGAAGCGGATGACCTCGCACCTCGTTGGGCGCGTGCCCTCCCAGAAGGGTGGCTTCTTCTCGAGGTTCACGCTGCTCCTTCCATTCCCGACCCTGTTCGTCGGGGGACGGGTCATGCTCCTCCTCCAGACGTTCGGCCCGCCCGACCTGCTCCATCGCCTCCTCCTCCAGGGCCTTCCTGTGCTCCTCTTCCACCTGCCGCTCCTCGGGCTCTCTGCCTTCAGCTTCAGGCTGCTTCAGCTCCGCTGGAGCCTGAAACTCTGCCTTCTTCTGGGTGGGAGGGTAAAGTTTTGTGTCTTCCATGCTTCTAGGAACTGCTTCATGCGTCTGCCGCCCATCACTGTTTCGAGACACCTAGGCCAAGCACATCACTGGAAATGACACTCTTCCATTTTGAAAGCAGTGATATAATCTCTTTATTACCATGTCTATGGGGTTACAACATAAGCAAAATCCTGGAGTCTAGAAATACAGAATCCTGACTGAAAAGTATGGCTGCAATGGAGTCACTTAACTCTTCTCACTCTGTAATCTCACCTATAAAATAGAGATAACATGAGCACAATTTCATCCTGGGAAGAATACAGTAAGTAATCTAAAAGTAAAGCCTATATGTGACCACATCTCAGCAGACCCGCCCCTCAAAAGCAATCTAACTCCTGTTTTCCCTTAAAACAAAAAGGAAAAACCCCTCAACCTTCAAGTGATGAGGTGTTTATGTAATTTTCTTCAACGTAAATTTTGTTTTCAATAATGATTTAAAAAGTGGGACACCTGGCTGGCTCAGTCGCAAGAACATGAAACTTTTTTTTTTATAAAATCTTTTTTTTTTAAAGATTTGTATTTATTTATTGAGAGAGATAGTTATAGAGAGAGAGCATGAGAGGGGGAGAGTCAGAGGGAGAAGCAGACTCCCTGCTGAGCAGGGAGCCCGATGTGGGACTCGATCCCGGGACTCCAGGATGACTTGAGCCGAAGGCAGTCGCTTAAACAGCTGAGCTACCCAGGCGCCCAGAACATGCGACTCTTCATCGCAGGGTTGTGAGTTTGAGCCCCATGGGTGGGGGAAGGGTGTAGAGCTTAATTAAATTAAGAACAGAACTTTAAAAAAATATAATGATTTGGAAAGAGAAGGACAAGATCAAATTGAAGATGAGTTGGGTTTATTTTTTACTAATTTAAAAAAAGAATGCCATTACTAATAGGCATCCATGTTAGCTAAAAATATTTGTGCCCATTAAACTAGATACAATAAAATATTTTTTAACATATTAGAGTAGTATTTCTTCATAAATCAGAGGAAATCCTTTGTAAATATTTTGTATTGTTAATACATAAAATTCAACATAAAAAATGTCTTTTTTACAGAGAACTCCTCTTCTAAAATTGGTTGGTTTAAATTGGTGTTCCTGGATTTAAAGTTTCAGAGATTTCCACGTGATCTTCATTACTTAGAAAAGAGGGGCAAAAAAAAAAAAGATATAATATCATACAAAAATTTATCACTCCTTCCCCCCTCCAACCTTATTTATTGGAAAAAATAACTTATTTGGTCAGATTGCTCCTCCAAATTGAAATAAATGGGAAGCCCTCTTCTTAAATTGGCAGAACTATAACTGAGAAATCTGAATGAATGAATGAATGAATAAGTAAATAAATAAATGGAGGAAGAAAGTCCTTTCTCAGACATCTGAGGAGAACTTCTGGAGATGTATCTCTTACCAACGTCCTCACATACCTGGCAGGATGGACATAATACTGCTCTGACTTAGAGAAATATGAAATATTTCTCTAAAGAGCCTTAAGTGCTTTCAAATACCTGCCATTTATAGGAGATAACTACTATCTCTACCTCACAGATGAAAACACTCAAGGTCTGAGTCATTAGAAGATTAATTAATCCAGGAAACAGGGAGTCAGACTAGGACAGGGAAGATGACTAATTCCCAGGCCAGGGATCTGGTCATGTTTTCTTAGTAGTAACAAAGAAGGGTCCATGAAGACACAGAAGGTTCTGTCTGTGAAGGGATGCTCTGCAGGACTAAAGACTTCGATGAAGTCTACTCACAGCGACTTAATTATTCCCATAAGATGGTCATGCAGGACACACCCTCTCAAACATTCACTGTTAAAAACAACTTCTTCCGGGAGAAAGACAGCCGTATTTGCCATTTGTATTATGCACGTGATTAAAACAACTATGTTAGACTTGAGGATAAGGGTGACCCTACTTTTGATGTCCCACTTAGGAGACACTCTTAAGCAAGGCTCAATTTTTATGAAGAGCAGGAATGCCAAAAAAAAAAAAAAAAAAAAGTGGATTAAGAGACTAGCACTCATACCTTTGATAGTTTTATAAAGACTTCTTAAATACAATTTTTGGCTTGTTCTGTGTGGACGTAGCACTGCATCAAGTTCAACTATATTACCAACTTTAATACTTGAGTGGGCTGTCACAGAACAGCCTCATGATCATTTAAACTTCTCACTCTACCCCCCAAAAAGCCAAACAACAAGAACAAAAAGAAAATTTAAAAATTCAGATACAACAGCCCCTTCCAAAAAAATAAACAAAGCCAGTAAAATCTTTCCCAGAAAATACTATAGCAGTACTTCTCTGAGCGTCCTCCGCAGACCAGCTGAATCAGTTAGAAATGCAAATCTTCAGGCCTCATCCCAAAATAACTGAACTGGAAATTCTGGGCTAGGGCCCAACTATCTGCATTCTAACAGCTCTGCTGGGGACTCTGATATACGCTAAAATTTGAGAACCACTGCTCTGGAGGAAGAGTTGGCAATATTTAGAGCAGTTCACCTGATAACAGCTTGACGGGGAAAGTGACCCCATCACGGAATACCAGTTCACGCCTCTCACCTCCCGTGGCTCCCCGGCTGCATCCTCCCTCGCTGTGTTGTCACCTCGTGGAGAATGTGTCACCTGGGTAACATTCTGCTGCTCTGCTTTCTCTGGCTTTCGAAGGCTTGGAATCCTATTCAGAGTATCTTTCAATTGTTTATATTCTGCAACTTGTGTCTGTGTATAAATTGCACAATTGTATACAAATTGTACAATTTGAGGAGAGAAAGAGATACCGTTCATGGATGGACACTACGGTTCACTGGAAGACTAGACTAAAATATTATACCTAAGTACAAGTTAGGAAAAATATGCAGATTATTTCCATGCATTAGCTATTCTTACTTGGACATGCTTAACCATTTTTAAGCACATGCAAATGAGAATTAGATATAAAGGGAACGGAGGAAAAAAATATCTAAGACAGATGTTAGCTTTTCATGCTATGTTAAACAGTCAGAATTTTTATAAATAACTTTCTGGTATAAATATCATTATTAAAACAGTTTGCAATCAGTTTTATAGCATTAAAAAAATCTGTTTAAAAATTCACACAATTATATAAATACAAGTGCAGATATCTTTTACCAATATGGTCTGAGTAACGTTTTTCAGTGAAAAGGAATCATAAGTTTAAAATAAGTAACTATTTAGTTATTTATTTATAAAATCACTCAGGCCACCCACCCCCCCACCCCCCACCATCAACCTGTGCTCGAATAGGGTCCCTAACTTTCCAGAATGCTTCTGGTATTGTGCTCTGAAGATTTAGGAAAGCAATAGCATAGGCATGAAATGAGCCTAGATTTTTATTCCTCAATTGTGAACCTCCTTTCTTGTAAGGTGATAAAGGCGCTAATGTAAGTATTAAACTACAATACACTCATCCAGGTGTATCTGTGTATATTTGGTGGTGGTGTGTGTGTGTGCATGCACAATATTTTTAAGACAAGGAGCTAGAAAGACAGAAAAAAAATCAAATACCTTCACTAAGAAAATCAATAGACACTGCTCATACTTAGCTCATCATATGCACCAACACTATTATCCTAAAACAGAAATGCTGTGTGTGTAAACACACACCTACATAAACATATCCAAACACCACAGAAATCCATTCTGGACAAGTCTCCAGCCAGTGGGCGCAGCAGAGCGGGTGAGTGGAGGCTGGAACCCAGCTGGCACCCCCACTGCCCTAGCCGTGCACCCTGGCAGAGTGCTCTTCCACCCCAACGAAGGGGGGGGCCTTTTTATTTTTTTCCAATTCACACAAAGGTGAGGAAGTTTTCTTGTTAAATCTGTCTCAGAGGAATGCACCCTTGTAATTTGTACAAAGGTATGCCATATGGCTAATAGTGGCCCTTATCCCAGAAATCTATCAAAACATTTGCAAACCAACTTTGGAGGGCAAAGAAAATTTTTATTTATTTTTTATTTTTTTTAAGATTTTATTTATTTGTCAGAGAGAGAGTACAAGCAGGGGGAGCAGAAGGCAGAGGGAGAAGCAGGCTTCCCACTGAGCAGGGAGCCCGATGCGAGACTCGATCTCAGGACCCTGAGATCATGACCTGAGCCGAAGGCAGACGCTTAACTGACTGAGCCACCCAGGCATCCCCAAAGAAAATTTTTAAAAAAGACATCCACATAGTGATACTTTTAATAAATATTTCTTCTTTCTCCTCCTCCTAGAGATATATATTTGAAAGCAGTTATGCTGCAGTTCTCAAATATTAGTGTGCATTGAGAACCATGAAAGGATCATGTTAAAAATGCAATCTCCTGGGCCCCCCACCCTAGAATTTATGACTCAGTAGGTCTGGGGCAAGGCCAGGTAACTGTGATGCAGGATAGTCTCCAAAAACACCAGTTTAAGAGTTACACATGACCATGATGTCAAGAGCACCTAAACTCTAAGCTCAGTTTGGTTGCTGATCTTGGGCCAGCTATTTTATTTCCCTTTGACCTCCTTTTATTTAGTTATAAAAAGGACACAATGTTATATAACTCAGTTGACTGTGAACATTAAACTATATAAAAAGTTCTTATGATGATCCTTGACACACTGTAAACTCAAATTCTATTCTGTTTTTTTTTTAAGATTTTATTTATTTATTTGTCAGAGAGAGAGAGAGAGAGAGGGCACAAGCAGGGGGAGTGGCAGAGGGAGAGGAAGAAGCAGGCTTCCCACAGAGCAGGGAGCCCGATGTGGGACTCGATCCCAGGATCCTCGGATCAAGATCTGAGCTGAAGGCAGACGCTTAACTGACTGAGCCACCCACACGTCCCTCTATTCTGTGCTTGCTGTCCCCCCACTCAACTACATTTAGAAATTGGGTTGTTGGGGCACCTGGGTGGCTCAGTCGGTTGAGCGTCCAACTTTTGGATTCGGCTCAGGTTATGATCTCAGGGTCATGAGATCGTGCCCCATGTCAGGCTCCCTGCTCAGCTCAGAGTCTGCTCTAGATTCTCTCTCTCTCTCTGCCCCTCCTACCATGCACGCTCTCTCTCAAATAAATAAGTAAATCTTTAAAAAAAATCAGGATGTCAAGTCAGTCTCATAAGATGATTTAAATAAGAAATGTAGATGCTTGAAGCAGCATTTATTTTCTAAGGAGACCCAGGGAAAGTATTAATATGGGGATGGGAGGTGGGACTCTAAGTACTACACCTAGTTCTGGCATAATCATTTAAAGGGGGTGGTTGGTGGGCAGGACAACTTGAGCCCCTTCTCAAAGGAGCAGAAAATATTTTTAAAGAAATAGAATACTATACATAAGTTACATAAAAATATTTTTTTCTATTACAAAACTTGTCCATAATACTGCCAGTGGGCTTACTACAGAATTCAGTTTTGGTCATTAAATGCCTTATTTTAATTTATATTTCTCTGGATTTTCAAACTGCTGCTTAGTCTAATATTTGTGGCCATCAGAGCACACAGAATATTCAAACTGGTTTGTCACATTTTTCAGCATGAAAAACAGCCTCAAATAAAATAGTATTTGGTAAAAATTTTATAAAGAGGGTTTTAAATGAAATAATCTCAAGTCAATTTAATCTGTACACCTGTAAAAAATTACCACACAGCTACAGTTTCATAGGGGGATAATCAATGACTACCTTGAAAAGGAGTCCCACAAATACAGTTGCTACAGCCAATGAGATGGGTCAAGGCCCAGCATGTTATACTTTTCCTAATTTTATAAAGACAAAATATAATACAAAAAAAAAAATGGTCTCCTGATAAGGACAGATAGCTGGTTTTCCTCTTAATTCTTCCAACTGAAGAAAAGTACAAACCTAGTGACTAAGCTAGCCATTCCTGTTTGTTCACTTCTCCTAGAAAGCTGTAAAACACAGTATGGTATTGCTTTAATAAGCTCTCCAACACTTGTATTCGTTCGTTTGTACATTCAGTAAATAACCACTGAGGGCTTACTTTGTGCCAGGGACTGTTCTAGGCTTTGAAAAACGGAACTTACGACTCGACTCTTGTTTTTCCTTCTCCATTGACATGAGATCTCTTATTTTCTGTAATTTGGCCAAGAACACATAAGGCTAGTCCTAAAAGGAGTGCGTGTAGGCTGGGATACGGAAGCAAGGGAGGGAGGGATGCAAGAAAAAGTCTGACAATAATTTATTTGGTAGCTAGCATCATAAAATCCTATAGATCCTATAAGAAGAGTCACCACAGGTCAGAGAGTGGCAGAAGACCATATATATGGGATAATTTCTGTGATTTAAACAAGCATTTGACCATTGCATGTAGGGGCTGGTGGAGGGTAGAAACAGTCATAGGTACCACACTACCAGTGCGAAAAACATAATCAAAGGCTTATTTAATATTCTCTTGATTGAATTTTGAAAGCATGCATGAGCCTCAGGATCAGGAGAGCTCTGTCCTAAGAACTCACTGAAGATTGGCTTGTAAGAGACTACATGCATAAAGGAATTCGGAAATGTTAGGCAGATTGTAAGGAGAACCCATAGAGGCTGCTGTCCTTCTAACCTGTGCAGCAGCTAGCGCACTCTTGTGGTCTTCCAAAGTCACTACAAGTTGTTCATGCTCGGAGAGTAAATTCTTATGCTGTTGCTACACAAAAAAGAATTTTACATGTTGAGATTTAACATTCTAAGACAGATTCTTCTTCGGCTGACAGTGGTATGAGCACCCAAACGTAGCTTGCTTGCCTGCTTGTTTATTGTTCTTGCAGCACTTGCTGAGTTTAAAAATCATTGTAGAGAGAAGACGATAGATAATAAGACAGTATTCTGAAATCTAAAACGTATTACCTAAATATCATAATCCCTTACAATGAAATCAAAACCAAAGGAACAAATACTTCATTATTAATAAACCTTTGTAAATAAAAAGCTTATTAAAATGCAACCATCTAGCCAAAGAATCATTTCGGTACTAATGAAAATGTTTGGATTTTCAGGCCATCTTTTAGCTTACAGTGCAGATGCGGTAAAAGTATGGGCACAATCCAGTTTATGCAAAGTCCAAATAACAATGTGGATTTGAATGCAGGTCTATTAGGGAATGACTTGTAAAGCTATTCTACAAAGTAAAGCAGGCCAATACTAAGCAGTCAAATGCCCGGGTTTGTTTTACCTTGACGTCTTGAAGTTGTGTATGCATGTCCTGGTGTGCCTTCCTTAGCTGTCTATTCTCTTCTCTCAAATTGTACACAGTTTCTATTTGTGGAGAAAAAAAATCATGCATAAAGCCTTGAGATTTTTCTGGCTTTTGATTCCATTACTGTCATATCTAAAACTTCACATAACTATTTTTAGGATTTGTTTTGAACTTTGACAGTATAGTATGCCAAATCAACAAAAATTCTATCATTTTGGGATATGACATGGATTCAGCTTGCCATTCCAATACAATCTGGTTTGGTAGTTTAAATACTTTTAAGGAAGCTACACAGTGTGGAAGTTAAGGATTTCTAATTACTCAGGAGTTAAAAATGAAGTATTTCTGTAGTAAGCAAGTCCTCAGGAATAAAATGTAACAGGCAGGGATGATATAAGATTTGAGTCTCTCCACAAATTAAAAAGAAAGTTATCAAAATTAGTACAAATACTATTTCTCATAGCATGAATAATTTCCATGGACCCCAAAAGGTATTTCAATTGCAAAGACAACCCACGAAATAAGAGACAGAGAGAAACCCCACTTACTTACAACTCACGAAATAAGAGACAGAGAGAAACCCCACTTACAACTCACGAAATAAGAGACAGAGAGAAACCCCACTTACCTGCTTAAAAATTCTAAGTATATTTTCTTTCTCCTGGCACTGAGTTCTTGCCTGATACAAACTCCCCCTTCCAAAAGCGGTAGAACAGTTTTTCCCAGGCCTACAATGTGAGGCTGTAGCTGTCTCACTGAAGTCCTATAATCTCTCCAATCTTAAGCCTACTGTTCAGGGAACAGCCTCAGTGACTTAAAGATTCCAGGCCCACCTCTCCTACCCACTGGGTGAATTTCTTACTTTCGCTGTATCTGGACATTAGATGTTATAAACTGGCAGCCCTGGGGCTGAATCCAGCTCACATTTTTTTTCTTTTCTTTTTTTCCTCCCGGCCCCTGCAGTGTTGGCCTATGCAGAGTGTTCCACATATGAATAGTTGGCACCATTTAAAAATCAAGGATCTGGGTCTACTAAGATCTGGCAACATGAGGCCAAGAATCAGCAGAAGTTGAATGGTGGCAAGTGACAATATAATTCATTTTTCAACAGAAGGCACCTTTGAAAGTAAAAGGGGAGGCTGTTAATAATGATGCTGACACAGATCCGGGTAACAGTGTGCCGGGCAAATTATCCCTGAGTGGCAGCCACCCTCTGCAGACAAAACCTTAGCTCTCCGATGTGGCACTCAGCACTGAAGAAAAGTGCCCACCCCCATCTCTCACCCTATTTTCTGTCCACTTTTACAACTTTATCATCCCTGCCTCACCCCTGACCTCTGGATGGTTGACTACGTGTTAAGGGAGAGGTCAAGAACAAGGTAGGAAAGGTTCTGATGCAAAGGTCAAAATAGGACACCACTGGAGATCCAAGGGGACTGTCAGTGTGCTGTTGGCTGGATGGGGCTTCAGTAAACACACACACACACGCGCGTGCACATACACATACACACATACACACATACACACACGCATGTGCACACACATGCATGCACGCATTCACACACATGCACGCACGCATACACACACGCGCACACACACACATGCACGCACGCATACACACACACACACACACAAATACCCAAACTGCTAGCTTCTAAAGGAGTTTGAGGTCATAAACTTAATGGCAGTTGCTTCTGTGCCTTAACTGTATTGCCTTGAGTAAGTTATTTAACTTTATGAAGGCTCAGTTTCTGCCTTTGTTAAATTAGGCTAAACACAATGCCTCGCTTACAGCTTGTTATGAGAATTAAATAAAATAACTGCATGAAAAGTTTCACCTGGTACTAGCACATGGTTAACATGTGCTGAGTGTCAGCTATTATTATAACAGAAATGAAAAGAATAATTACCTAAGCTTCTACCCTACCAGTTTATCTCCCAGGAATTCTAAATTCTTTTCTGGTATCACATTAAACTTGACCCGAGACTACCTGGGTTATATGTCTGAGTTGCCACTACTGACCTGTGTCTGTCACCATATGCTTTAACTTACTATCCGAAGCTTTTATCAAAGGATCATAATCAAACAAAAGTGCTGACATAGAAACTGCTCAGTAAAGTGTCATCAAAGGCACTGTCACACCCTATTGTTTAAGGCCTCTGAGAAATTTCTTCCAAAAATTAACTGATACCAGAAATACAGTTCTCTCTCGCCCCTTCTCTTTCTCTCTTTGTCTTTCTCCCTGCCTTGCCCCACACACAGGGTAGGTATACTCTCTTTCTGATGAGAAGAGCCCCAAAACTTACTGCACTTCCCTTTCGGTCTTGGCTACCAGGAAGTTCAGACCAGGTTGTGAGGCTTAAATTATCTCAGTACACAGAACTACATACAATGTGTCCTCCTATTTTCCACGGTTCTGATTTACTACTTCTAAATATAATTTGTTAAAATTTTACTCTAAATGCACTTTGTTTCAAAGAAAGGAATATACACTAGATGCAAGAAAACATGCTTTATATTTCCTTTGTGAGGACGTTTCTCTGTTATCTTAACGACCCCCACCATCTGCCATATCACCAACAGCCAACCAACGCCCCTGCACGTCTATGGCTCTTGGGTATCATCTGCTGACACCTGCCTTAACACTTTCAAGACCACCCTAACCCTTAATAGTCTGCCTCAATGGCTACTTAACGCTCATGTGCCTTCTTTGTTACAACTTACTATTGTGAAATAGACAAAATATTGCAAATAAAAATACAGAGAGGACCAAAGTACCTATCACTCAGCTTCCTTCTATGATGATATCTTATATAAAATAAAAATACTGTTTGGCACAGTATAATTAACTGGACCACAGACCTTCCTCGGATTTCACCATTGTTTTTTCGCAAGGACCATGTGACTTTTTAAACCAATTCTCACACTTCAAACTTATTTAGCACCTGAATAGGTGATTGTAGAATATTTCCCTTTTTCAGAATTTACATATACTCAGAGTGATACAATTTGTTTCATAATACCATGAAAATACCTCATGCTGACACTGATCACATTATCAGTAACTGTCCTAGGTGCTTTACATAAATTATTTAATCCAACCCTATGAGGTTAATAGCTTTTTATGACTATCCCAATTCTACAGATGATGACAATGAGGTCTGTGGTGATCATACAATTTGACCATGGTCCTATAACTAGACATTGGAGAGGCCAGGACTCACCAGGGCAGTCTGACTCTAGATCCTCAGCTTTTCAAAGCTACTACTAGTGATCAACAGGTTTTTTTTTTTTGGCGCCTTGGAGATTAGGAAATGCATGAGGCGACTCTGATCAACACATTGAATGTGGAGCACTGATGGCATTTTGCGAGTAGGGGTCAGAGACACTAAATATCTTACAACACACATAAAAAGAGAACTTTCTTGCCCGATGTGGCCTATGTGCCCCATTGAGAAAAACCAAATATTCTATTCTGTTTCCTAAACAGTGAAATGTTACAAAGAAGTAAGTGGCTGGTAAAGCACCACATGGTAAATGTGAAATCAATTGCCATGCAAACAAACACAATTCTATTGCTTTACTGAAACATTACACGGAGTAGTTATTTCCATATAAACTAGCTAATCAGACTTCCAAATACCTTTTAGCTTAGAAAGTTCTTGTTCTTTCTCTTGCTGTAGCTGCAGGTACTTCTGCTTATGGTCATTAAACGTCCTACTGAAGTCTTCTCCTTGTTTGCGATGCTCCTCCTCCAAGTCGCTGTGCTGTTTCTTCAGCTCCTCGTGTTGACTCTGCAAAGATGAGAATCTGAGCAGAGATGTACATTCTCTAAATTATACCACAGTCTAGAGCCTTTCTCTCTCAAGAAAGAACAGATGCAGCAGGAGGCTCTGTTTTCCTCAGGCTGCTTTGAATTGGGGCAGCTCCCCTGCATTTCCCTTACATTTCAAATCAAGGGTTTGGGATCATGGCCAAAAATAATTTTCTCCTTAATTTTGAACATCGGTAAAAACAAGAAGTTAGAAGTTAGCCATGGGAGATGGAAAGGGGAAGGATTGGGGAAACTCCCAGGGACTCAAATTGCTGTGGAGACAAGGTAAAGCGAACAGAAAAATTATCCCTCCACAGCTATTCCAGACTTCCTCTTTCAATCTGATGTTTTCCGAGCAACATTTTTTTATTTCCCTTCTTTAGTTTTCAGCCTTCCTGGTAACCTAGTTTAAAAAAAAGATTTCTTTCCGTTTGGGGGAAGTAATACATTGTTTATAGAATTATTCTTATTTACCTTACTCCTTGTCATACTACTACACTGGAATCACAATCTAGATAAAACCCACAGTCTCCAAATGCTAATGTGAAAGGGTGGTCTGCTTTAATCCACGCACTACTTTCTTGATACTAGGAAAGGTTCTGGCTTCAATAAAAAACACTTGTTCTCCTGATACAGGAGGAAAGACAACACCAAACAAAAAGCGAGATGGGCAAGGGAGGGAGGTTGGAGGCGTGGAGATCATGGCAGGGTTTTCCTGCTGTGCAGAACCCTTGATGGCATCCACTCCTCTCTTCTAGCTTGACAGAAATCATGACTCTCTCCCCTTCCAAGTCTTCTTGACACACAACAATGAGTTCTTTACCCAAGAACCAAGGAAGGAGAATCTTTAAATATAAATTGTGTTCCTGTGGTAGGTAAAAGGACACATTAAATATGAGTAACATGAAGGAGGCGTTTAATCATTCTACTGCCCCCAGTGTGCCTAAGATAAAAAGAAACATCTGAGGAAAACCACTGTGAGAAACTAAGCAAGCAAACACAAACAAAAAAGCCTTAAAATAGAAAGAGAAGAATAAAATTAAAAATTAGGTGACCAGACAGACTGATTTACAAGAAAATGTATAATAAGATGACTATGATTGTTGTAATTGGGTGGTAAGATGAGGGAACATTACAATTCTACGTCATTTTTAGTGAAATATGACTTTAAGGTACCATCCTACCATACAGATCAATTTTCTGTAAGCTTTCCTTAATCACTTGAGTTACTTAAGTTAATTCTTTTATTCATTCATTCATGAGGAACAACTTTAAATTACTCACTTTCAACATCTGATGTTGCACATTCAACGCACTGTATCTGCTATTGGAATCTTGCTGTAAATTGAAAAGAAAATAGTTAACACAAAGATAATGAATCTGGCTCTCTTGCTAAACATAGCTTAAAGCACTTAACAGAAGAATTCCATTTATTTCACTTATATAAGCTACAATGAAGTCTGTGCTTCAACCAGGATGTCTCTAGGGCCATCTCTTTATTTAATGGCTGGAATGAAGTCTTAACATTCCTGTAAGTTTGCTAGAGTTTAGTACAGAAAAAGCAAGACATGGAATCGTAAAAAAGCAGCTTAGCAGGGGCCCTGGAAATGATTTACTTCCCCTCTCAAGCTGAGAAGAACCGAGGCTCTGATGCACAAGGACCTTGTCCTGAGTCACTGTCACTGTGCATGGCTGATACACTGTGCCAGGTGCTCAGAGGGGACTAGGTCCAGGCCTCACAAGCTTTGAAGGGAAAAGGCGCTTTCCTTCCCTGAGCTTCAGTGGGTAAGGAATTCTCCATATATTACTTTACCCAAATGAGACTCCCATTTCACAGAGCGAAGAAATGGAGAAAGGATAAGGAATAAGCTGAGGGCAAACATTTCCTTTAGTAGCAGAGCCAGGACTGAAACTTGAGCCTAAGCCATGTTCCAGTGGTGTACGCGTATGTCCCAGTAGAACAGCCTGACACATGGACCTCACACATGTGCAGAGTCCTGGGCAGCCGTGAGCAGTCTGTACACAAGACACCCAACCATTTTCTCTCCCCATGTGGGGCTCTGCTATCTGACGCACCACACCCCCTGCTTTGGCTCCAGCACAAGCACACCCGCAACCAGTTGTTTCTTTCATTTTTTTTACAATTTCTAAGATGAACTGCATTTTTACTCTATTGCTTTATTTTATTGCTTTACTCTTTTACTTTACAAAGAAACTGCATTATGAAATGCACAACAGAAAGCACACAGCTTTGGCTGGGGCGGTAAGAGTTGAAAGCTGACAGTCTCCCAGCTATCCGAGGAACTGACTCTTCTCAGTTTTAGTGCTACAAAATGCCAGTGTTTCATTCAACTCACAGTTATATATTCTTCTTGGAGTAAGAGAAAAACTTGCTTTTCTCCAGTTAATTTGGACTGTGCAAGTGACAGTAACATTGCAGGATTTTTTTGGCAGCAATAAATACATACATACATATATACATACGTGTTAGTATATTTCAGCCTTTCGGTCCTAACGATCAACATAGCAAAAGATTTTGCCACTATTATTTCCCTCTCCTTAAGTTTCATAAAATCATTAAGTAAAAGTCCAAAACTTACCCTTCCTTTATTTAGTGTTTCTTGTGCTTCTAACTTATAAACAAGAAAGTCTAGAAAATAAAAAATGGAGAAAATTGGGTGTGATTAACTCATTATGGAATTTTCAAAAAAATAAAAGCAAATTTTATTCAGACTTGTGAAAAATATTTTAGTCTTAAAAACAATCTGCTTGGGGGCGCCTGACTGGCTCAGTCGTTGAGCGTCTGCCTTCGGCTCAGGTCATGGTCCCAGGGTCCTGGGATCGAGTCCCGCATCGGGCTCCCTGCTCGGCGGGAAGCCTGCTTCTCCCTCTCCCACTCCCCCTGCTTGTGTTCCCTCTCTCGCTGTGTCCCTCTCTGTCAAATAAATAAATAAAATCTTTAAAAAAAATAAAAAATAATAAAAAAATAAAAACAATCTGCTTGGTAACATACTTTATTTTGCCTCTTTAGGCCTTTTTAGAAAGAGTTGGGAAAAAAAAACTATTACATAATTTTCAGCTTTATTTTAAAGCTGTATATCTTGAATAAAGAAAATACACATTATAACCAATTAATTAGAAGTGAATTTAGAATGTGCACTCTGTGATCAACTCTCCTTGAAATTTAGGAGAAGAACAAAATGAGGCATACCTAAAGACAGAGATGATTTATTGCCATCCACTAGATGGCACGCTAAAATCATTCAGGACTCGAAAAGAGACATCAAACAGTGGAACCCACCTTTAATGCTCTTAAAGCTTTATTATCCACTAGATGGCTCTATAAAATCACTCTGCATTTAAAGACAAGGAAAATCCAAATCCTATCAAAGCATTTTAATGATGTTAAACTCCTACTCTTCCTGCAGGCTTAATCCAAGGGTCAGTAAAACACCCTAACCCATACCGCCCTCTCACTTCCCTCCCTCCACCCCACACCAACATAGTCAGACAGGGTACCTAACTTACATGTCCTCACAAGAGTTCACACCCCACACCAACATAGTCAGACAGGGTACCTAAC